GATGCTGAAGGCGCGGCTCTACGAGCATGAGCTGAAGCGGCGCGAGGCCGAGGCCCAGGCGACCGAGGACGCCAAGACCGACATCGGCTGGGGCCATCAGATCCGCTCCTACGTCCTGCACCCCTACCAGATGGTCAAGGACCTGCGCACCGGCGTGGAGAAGACCAACTCGAAGGCGGTGCTGGACGGCGACATCGACGACTATCTGGAGGCGGCCCTGGCGGCCAAGGTCGGCGGCCTGGAGTCCGACGAGGCGGCCTCCGCCTGACCGTCCGTCCCACGCGCGAGGAGGTCCCCGCGATGCGCGAGATCCTGCCCGGCATCCACATCTGGTCGAAGCTCTCGCCGCCGCACGGCTACGACTTCAACGGCTACCTGATCGAGCTGGCGGAGACCGAGGTCGGCGGCAACCTGGTGATCGACCCGGTCGAGCCGGAGCCGGCGGAGCTGGAGGCGATCGCCGCCAAGGGCGTGGCGCTGATCCTGCTGACCAACCGCAACCACGGGCGCGCCGCCAACCGCCTGCGCGAGGCCACCGGCGCCAAGGTGCTGATCAACCCGGCCGACCGCCCCCACGCCGAGGCGCAGGGGATCGCCGTCGACGGCGCGCTGCTGGTCGGCGCCACCTTCGGGCCGCTGCAGGCGGTCGACGCCGCCGGCAAGTCGCCCGGCGAGGTGGCGCTCTATTGGCCGGAGCGCCGGCTGCTCTGCGTCGGCGACGCGGTGATCGGCTGGCCGGCGGGCGCCTGCAAGCTGCTGCCGGAGGACAAGCTGGACGACCCCGCGCAGCTCCGCGCCTCGGTGGCGGGGCTGGCCGAGCTGGAGGTCGAGACGCTGCTGCCCTGCGACGGCGTGCCGATTCTGGAGGACGCCGGCGCGCCGCTGCGCGCCCTGGCGGCCCGCTCGGCGGCCTGACGGCCCGCGCGCCGCGCCAACCGCCCCCGCGCCCCGGCCGCCGCCCGGCCGGGGCTCAGCTTCCGAACATGCGCTTCTTGGTCGGCGGCGGCCCCTTGCGGCGGGTCACCGCGACGAGCAGGACGCCGAGCGCGAACAGCACCGGCGCGGCCGGCAGCAGCAGGATCGGGAAGATCACGTCCTGCCACAGCGGCGCCCAGACGTGGCGCTCGATGGCCGGCTGCAGGACCGCCAGGCTGTTGCGGTCGATCGCCGCCCAGACCTCGCCGAGCGGGCGCAGCATGAAGCGGTCGAGGGTCAGGTAGGTCCAGAGGTCGCCCGCGAAGACGACCAGACCGAAGAAGACCAGCAACCAGCCGAGCACGTGGAAAACCAAGCGCATGGCCCGCAAAGTGGCGCAGCCGGATGGCAAGAGCAAGGCAGGAAAGCGCCCCCGCCGCTGCCGGGCGACCTGCCGGGTGACCTGCCGCTCGGCCGGCCCGGTGACGCGCCCCCGACCCGCCGCGCGCGGCGCAGGCCAAGTTGAGCATTGCATCGGCGCCCCAGCTTCGCTACCTAGACGCCCCGATGCGGGTGAGGTGGCCGAGTGGTTGAAGGCGCACGCCTGGAACGCGTGTAAGGGTTAACAGCCCTTCGAGGGTTCGAATCCCTCCCTCACCGCCACTTCTTCTTAGCGGGCCGCCGCCACGCCACCCCGACCCGCTGGCGCCGGGTTCGAACTTCGTCTCGCACGGCCCGCCACTGCTCCGCCGCGGGTGGCCGCTTCGCCGGACCGCCCAGATCAGCAGCCGCTCTGGACCACCACCGGACGCCGATGCAGCCTGACGCCCCCCCCCGTCGGTCGGGCGCGCTCAGCCGCCGCCGGTGGCGGCGAGGTGGAAGGGCAGCAGGGCGACCAGCAGCACGAAGGCGACCAGCCCGCCCAGGATCAGCAGAAAGGCGCAGGCGCGGTCGTTCGCCGCCTTGTCGTTGAGACGGGTGAAGCGGGTGTAGCGGTCGATCAGGTAGTCGCGCTCCGCCTGGCCCTCGTCGGGCGTCTCGTCGTAGGTGAGCTGGCGGATCATGAAGCGCACCTCCAGGCGGGCGAGGAAGCCGGCGCCGATCAGCAGCAGCAGCATCGACAGGCCGAACAGCCCCAGCATCGACGCCGTCAGCGGCTGGTCGAGCTGGGTCACGTCAAAATTGCGCGCGAAGGAGATGTAGCCGAACAGCGCGAAGGAGATGACCGAGGCCGGCACCGCGAGCTGCGAGCGCACCGTCAGCCGCCGCTCGCGCTCGGCCAGATAGAGCGACTTGAGCGTCTCGGTCGGAAAGTCGGCATACATGCGCGCCAGCTCTCCGGGGCTCTCCTCGACCGTGCCGGACTCCCCAGCGGACTGCCCAGCGGACTGCCCAGCGGACTGCCCAGCGGACTGCCCTCCGGGCTTTGCGCCGGACTCTGCGCCAGATTCTGCGCCAGATTCTGCGCCGGGCGCCTTGGCGGTCTCCTCTTCGGCCTGCTTGCCGGACTGTTCGGCGCGCGCGCCGTGCGGTGACTCTGTCGACATCGCCTCTCGCAAACTCTCCTGCCAATCACGCGGGGGCCAATCACGCGGGGCCGGGCGCGCGCGGGGGCCGCCCCGGCCTGTCCCGGAGTGCAAACTCCGCGCCGGGCCGATGGTTCCCGCGCCGGCCGCGCCCCACCCGCCAGGGCGGTGGGCGGCGTCAGGCCGCCACCACCATCGGCTCGGCGCGGCCCAGGGTCTCGATGATGTGCTGGGCGAGCAGTTGCGCCGCCGGGCTCAGGGCCTCGGGGCGGCGGAACAGGGCGATCTCCACCGTCGGCAGCTTCGGCAGCCCCGCCTCGGCACCCAGCACCTGCAGGCCGGGCGGCACGGTCGACTCGGCCAGCACCGTCACCGCCAGGCCGGCGGAGACGGCCGCGCCGATCCCGGTCAGGCTGGGGCTGGAGTAGGCAATGCGCCAGTCGCGCCCGGCCACGTCGAAGGCCTGGGCGACAAGCTGGCGGAACAGGCACCCCTCGGGAAACAGCGCCAGCGGCAGCGGCGCGGCCTCCAGGGCCGGACTGCCGGGCACGGCGCACCAGACCAGCCGCTCGCGCCGCACCGCCTCGCCGCCGCGCATGGCCGGCGTGCGGGTCAGCAGCGCCAGGTCCAGGCGTCCGGCCTCGACCTCGCCGATCAGGTCCACCGACTCGTCGCAGGCCACGTCGACCCGCACCCGCGGCGCGGCGCGGGCGAAGCGCGCCAGCACGCCCGGCAGGAAACTGGTCGCGTAGTCGTCCGGCGTGCCGATCAGGACGGCGCCGTCGACCTGGGGACGCAGCAGCCGCGCCAGGGCCTCGTCGTTGAGCTGCAGCAGCCGCTTGGCGTAGCCGAGCAGGAGCTGCCCCTCGGCGGTGACCGCCACCCGGCGGCCCGAGCGGTCGAGCAGGCGCCGGTCGAGCTGCGCCTCCAGCCGCTTGATCTGCATGGAGACGGCCGACTGGGTCCGGCCCAGGTCGCGGCCCGCGCGGGTGAAGCTACCGCCCTCCGCGACGGCGACGAAGGTGCGCAGCAGATCGAGGTCGAGCAGCGGAATCATGATTATCACGATATGTGATTACCCCGATCAAGACAATTCGTTTCAGTGATGCTGCAGTGCGGCCTAGACTGTCTGCGCGATCCTATGGAGTGCCCCCGATGAGTCTCAGAGAGTCCGCCCGCGGCCTGGCGCCGTCCGACGGTGTCCTCGCCCTGGCGGCGGTCACCTTCGGCGCGACGATGATCGGCGTCGCGCCGATCCTGGTGCGGCTGAGCGAGCTGGGGGCGCTCTCCACGGCCTTCCACCGCATGGCCTTCGCCAGCCTGGCCGCCGGCCTGCTGACCGCGCTGCTGCCCGCGCCCGCCGAGCGGCGCCCGGCGCGGGCGGGCGATCTGCTGCTGCTGGCCGGGGCCGGGCTGTTCTTCGCCGGCGACCTCGCCTTCTTCCACACCGCGCTGGGCCACACCTCGGTGGCCAACGCCACGCTGCTGGTGAACCTGGCGCCGGTGCTGGTCGGCCTGGGCGCCTGGGGGCTCTACGGCGAGCGGCCGACAGCGCGCTACCTCGGCGGCCTGGCGCTGGCCGTGGGCGGCGCGGTCTGGCTGAGCAGCGCCGGCACCGGCGGGGACGGGAGCGGGGGCGGCGCCAGCCTGACCGGCGACCTGCAGGCGGTGATCGCGGCCGTGTTCTACGCCGCCTATCTGCTGGCGCTGAAGCGGCTGCGCGCGGTCTTTCCGGCGGCCACCCTGATCGTCTGGTCCTCGGCGGCGGCGGCCCTCGCGCTGCTGGCCCTGGCGCTGCTGACCGGCGAGAGCCTGCTGCCGGCCAGCCTGGAGGGCTGGCTGGTGGTGGCCGCGCTCGGCCTGGTCGGCCAGGCGCTCGGCCAGGGCATGGTCGCCCAGAGCCTGCGCCAGCTCCCGGTCGGCTACTCCTCGCTGGTGTTGCTGCTGCAGCCGCTGGTCGCCGGCGCGCTCGCCTGGCTGCTGTTCGGCGAGGTGCTGCTGGCGGGGCAGATCGCCGGCGGCCTGCTGCTGCTCGCCGGCCTGGTGATCGCCCGGCCGGCTGGGCCGCGGCGCGTCAGTACATGTGCTGGCCGCCGTTGATCGACAGGGTCGCGCCGGTGATGAAGCCGGCCTCGTCGGCGACCAGGAACAGCACGCCGCGGGCGATGTCCTCCGGCTGGGCGAGGCGGCCGACCGGGATCTTGGCGACGATCTTCTCCAGCACGTTGGCCGGGACCGCGCGCACCATGTCGGTCTCGACGTAGCCCGGGGCGACGGCGTTGACCGTGATGCCCTTGCCCGCCCCCTCCTGGGCCAGGGCCTTGGTGAAGCCGTGGATGCCGGACTTGGCGGCGGCGTAGTTGACCTGGCCGTACTGCCCGGCCTGGCCGTTGATCGAGCCGATGTTGACGATCCGACCGAAGCCGCGCGCGCGCATGGATTCGATGACGCAGCGCGAGACGTTGAAGCAGGAGGTCAGGTTGGTGTCGATCACCGCCTGCCACTGCTCCGGCGACATCTTGTGCATGGTGCCGTCGCGGGTGATGCCGGCGTTGTTGACCACCACCTCGACCGGCCCGTGCTCGGCCGCGATCTCCTCGATCGCGGTCTTGACTGCGTCGAAGTCCGACACGTCGAACTTGGAGACCGCGATGCCGGTCTCCTCGGAGAACTTCTTGGCGGCCTCGTCGTTGCCGCCGTA